ACATCACTGATATGATCAAGAATGGTTCAGTCACAGAGGACCGTCTTGATGAGATGATCCGGCTGATCATGACACAATACTACCTGTTCGACCAGGATAGCTCCGATTATCCCATCGTCGATCCATCCATCGTCTTCACAATTGCAGCTCAGTCAAACCTTCTAGACTTGCTCCCTTTCCAGCCGCCACCAAGCCGCGATGTCCAGCGTGACCACGGCAAGCTGATCCGCAAGCTCGGTGCCGAAGCAACAGTCCTACTCAAAAACCTTAATGGGACTCTCCCCCTTAAAAAGCCCACCAACATTGGCGTTTTTGGCAATGACGCCGCCGACCCGGCCGATGGTCTCGTCTTTGGTGCTGGTTTTGAAATCGGCACGCTCTCCGTAGGAGGCGGCTCAGGCACAGGGAGACACACCTACCTCATCTCCCCGCTTGAGGCAATCAAGGCCAAGGCGCGCACAATAGGCGCTCGCGTGCAGTACATCCTTGACAACAAGGTTCTTGCTGCCGGCGACTTCAGCAGCTTGTACCCTATCCCCGAAGTTTGTCTCGTTTTCCTCAACACGTTCGCGTCAGAGGCTTATGATAGGACAAGTCACGAAGCGGACTGGAACTCGACGCTGGCTGTCGAGAACGTCGCTCGGAGGTGTCCTAACACTATTGTCGTGACGCATTCGGCTGGTATCAATACCTTGCCCTGGGCAGACAGCCCAAACGTGACAGCAATCTTGGCAGCGCACTTGCCGGGACAAGAGTCGGGGAACTCAATCGTCGATGTGCTTTGGGGAGACGTCAATCCCTCTGGAAAGCTGCCTTACTCCATTGCTCTCGATGCTAAAGATACCGATATCCCCATCGTCAATCTCACCGAAGCAGAAATCACGTCCCCCACAGCATGGCAAGCTGAATTCACGGAGGGCCTTCTCATCGACTATCGTCAACTCGACGCCGAGAATGTCAAACCTCGTTATGAGTTCGGCTACGGCCTCAGTTATACTACATTCGACCTGGATACATCTCTGGAGGTGAAGCAGCTCGCAAAAAACGTCGCCGCCATCCCGAACCCCTCAACGCCTAATGCTCCTGGGGGTAACCCAGAACTTTGGGATACTATCCTCGTTGTCACCGCGCACGTCAAAAACACCGGCGCCGTCGCTGGCGCCACGGTCCCTCAGCTATACGTTGCCTTGCCACAGCACTCAGTTCCCGAGGGCACCCCCCTTCAAGTCTTGCGTGGTTTTGAGAAAGTCATTTTAGAGTCAAAGGAGTCTAGCACTGTCGAATTTGAGTTACTGCGCCGTGATCTGAGCTATTGGGATGTAGCGTCGCAAACGTGGGTCATCCCTGAGGGGCCGATTGAGTTACGCGTTGGCTTTAGTTCTCGCGACATCAAGGCTACGGCCAAACAGGTTGTCTTGTCCTCCTAGGGCACGGTTTTGGAGTTCAAAAGAAAGTTGTTGGCTTTCTGGGCACAGTTTGCCCAAAGCGGCTGAGGTATATGTTTAAATAGACGTAGCATCAACTGGCTCTTCATGTTATTCAACTCTACACAATCTCAAACTCGGTTTCCGCAAACGCAAGACTCTCCTCCATGGGCTCACCATCCATCAGCCCATGGATATAACAATCGCCAATAATCCGTGATTTCTTCTGCTCATCATCACGGATAATGATGGGATAGTCACACCCATACAGCACAACAACCAAGTCACCCTCTCTTACCCCATCAATAGCCCAACCGAATCGGCCCTCCTTCGAGCGAAAGAACCTTCGATTATAAGTCCACTTCGTATGCGCCCCAATGAATTTTTCTGCGGCCTCCTTCTCCTTCATGTAATGCGCCACCCCATCCTGCGGCGCCAACCCGTGAGACTCGATCTCGTGGTCCGTCCGCTCCTGCAGAACCCGAGCGAGTCCCTTACCCGGTTCCAAGGCGGTCTTGTAGTGTACCTCGAAACCAATCGCGCAATCCTCGCCAGGTCTCTCGTTATTGTCCCGCGTTCGGTTGCACATGAAGGTCCGCCAGAGGTTCTCCCACGTCTCCGGGGTGGCTGTCTTGTCTGGGAAGGCGACGTCGATCACGCCGCGGTACCATTCCTCTGAATGTTTGACCATCTTTTCCATTGTCTCATTGAGCCTGTATTCGGCGTCATTGATGGGGCTCCCGGACCTCTTGGTATCATTCCCAGGTATATCACCTCCCACGCCCGCCTCCTTCTCGTTTTCCCTCTCGCGTTTGAGTATGGCGCCGCCATACTTTGCCATTTTGATCGCATTCGAGCCGCTAGTTTCGGCTTCATTTTTTACGCTGCCTTTTTCAACTTCTTTGTTTTCGTCGATGCCTCCCAACGGGCCCTGCTGGTTCGGCACAGGTATTTGCCGCTTGCATTCTACCTTGGCCACCACGTCGACGATCCTGCCCTTGATATGCAAGACGCCCGCGTCCTCGTCGATGTGTTGGCTTGGCTCTCTATCACCGGCAGCGGAAGCCTCTAGCCCACGAATGCGAAGCGGTTCAGTCCAGCCGGGACGGGTCCAGTCAGGCACCCATGATGGGAGCTTCAAAGTTGTCGGCTTTGATGAGTCAACGCAATGCGTGAGGATGTCCAGCGACCCATTCCTGATGTTCTTGATCGCGAAGTCAGTGAACACCTGTTCTGGTGTCTGGGCGTAGTTGACAACATAGGCCCCCTTCTGATCGATGAGCCCAAGCACACCGTAAATCTTGTCACTCGGGATTGTGGCTTGGAAATCTCTTAACTCTTCCAGTAAAGTAAGAAGCGGGGTGCTGGTGCATGTCGCCGCTTCGTCAACACGCTCTTTCCGGAGCTGTTCCATGAAGCCAATGGCTTTGAAACCTTTGCATTCGCTAATCATGGTTTGCAGTTTGAATTCTGACATAGCGAGGATGACCATTGCCATGAAGTGCCAGGGAACCTGAATAGCTCCGAGATGGACTATAACCTCGCGGGAATTGACAACTTCTTGGATGATCCAGGTACGTTTGAACTAGATACATTTTAGCAAGCATAGGGACATAGCCATGATGGGATGCAAACACTCACCCATGAGCGGTTGAGCAAATCAGCCAAGAGCCCCCATTCAAGCCGATTTGTGTCCGCATTGTTGTGAAAGTGCCATTGAATCTCATGCATCGTCGCGCTCGCCAAATCAACAACCTTGCGATGAACAAAAATGTCGTCAAATATTTCCGATATCGCGTACAGCGTCCGGACTGCGTGAAAATCCATCTCCGTCGACTCACCCAACCACACTCGCGTTCTTGAGGCGCCAGCATACACCCGTCCCATGACTTTGACATGCTCGTTCCGTTCCTTGAGATCTTGCTGATTGATGCACAGCGCATCAACCCAGATTCGAAGCGGCTCCCCGCCCTCTTTGCTTCGCATTCTACGCAGCGCGCGGAATAGTTCCCCACCGACGACGATCCCTACGCCGTCGCATTCGATGCGGGCGTCAGGCATGCGGCCGCCCAGGCGTATGTACTGCTCTCCGTAGTAGGGGTGGTCGCAGAGGTCCTTCCATTTGGACGTGCCAGACTCGGAAATCGTGTTGCCGCCGTCGTCCTGGCCGTGAATGGCCCAAGGGATGTCAGTGTCGGGGTCGATTTCTTTGACGGCGTCAATGCTCTTGCTCCAACAGTAGCTTAAAGCCTCATAGGGCGCGTCTGGTGAGTCGAGGTTCAGATGTGAAATGTTACATATAATTTCGTCATCGAAGTTGCCGGGTTGGACGGTGAGGATGCGGGTTTCATTGGGGAGATCTAGGGGGCGGTAGGGATAGGTTGCCATCTTGCAGTGCAGTAGTGTTATTAAAGACAGATAGTGACCATATGATTGAACTTGCACGGGCGGAGTCACTCGTGGGAAGAATAGAAATTATCTATAAGCTTTGGGTTTCAAGTAATCCAGATTGAGGCGAGCTATGTCGCTTTTCACAAATGGTCAATCATTCAGTTCTGGTAGGGCTGTGCTAGGCACCAGCTTAGTAGCAACACCTCTAAGCGTCATCTTGCAGGTTCAGGATTGGCTAAGATGATGAACCCCGGCTCATATTCGCTGGTTAGATACTTTTTCCACTTGCACCCTAGATTTACGGAAGTCCCAATGAATTTTAAGGTGCCTTCAGCAGGCACTAGTGGGAGGATCTTTGAGCGAATTCTCCCATACTTATTCGTAGTCATCAACACTAAGAGACTTGACGCCCTTCAACACATCAGCATTTTGACGCATAGCTGCTTTGCAGCCACCAGTCAATCACGTTGTATCCAACACCTCTCAAGGCAAACGTGGTCTCGAGAAGATACAAATATCGCTGATCGTCTATATCTCGCCCTTCGACGCACCGAACTCAACGTGCCACCGTTATACACAAGGCAAGCACAATTTAGACACAAGAATTGGCTGCGCTGTTGTAAACCTATGTTCAGGAAAAGCTATACGTGGTGTATCACAGACCTAAAAGTGAAGAGATCTTTTTCCATCGCAGCATACTTGTCTGATAATCTTCAGTAACATAGTGTAGGCAAGGGCCATTGGAAAATCATGTAGCGACGAGTGCGTTTGTGAGGTAGCGATGAATTAGTAACTGAATATCAAAAGTTGCATCCTGAACCAATGTTCACAGGTGCTCAAAATAGTAAGATCAACAGGACAAGCAGTCTCCAAGGACAATCATAGGCATAACATAACGAGATTCGGCCAAAATTGCGCCGCAGAAACGTGCTCAGAAAAACGTAACTCGGGCTGTGAGTCATTTAATTGAAGAACCAATTATGGCAGCGAGATTTGACCTCCGTACCCGAACTGTGTGGCGTGTCCCTCATCGCTTGATCATTTAAGCGCGGCCCGAATCTGACCTCATAAGCTTATTTAAACCTCAGCGACAACCGAGAAAACCGGGCATGAGTATGTCCGCAACTCAACACCACCCCTTCATACCTTTCGGCCACGGATTTTGCAGAACGTTTTGTCTTTCAGATGGCTATTCCACAGCGAATCGCGCCCTCTGCCGAGACTCTCAGGGAGTTCTACGTCGGCAAGGATGTGAGAGACGTTCCGAAGCCGGCAGTAGTATTGGATGCGGCCAAGGTCAGGACGCACTGCCGGTCCATGTTGGAAGCTGTCGATGATCTGGGAGTCGGATTTCGATTCCATGTTAAGACTCACAAGGTGAGTGGTCCAACCCTGAAGTAGTCATATCAAATCTTTGAATGGCTCAATGGGGACAAGATATTGACCATCGCTGCAGACCAGAGAAGTCACAAAGCTCCAGGCAGGCGAGAAGGCAACAAAGATCAACTGCATCGTATCAACCGTAGCAGAGATTGAGCATCTCCTCCCAACCTTCAAAGAGTACAAAGACGCCAGCCGCCATGTCAACGTCCTCTACGGCGTTCCCCTTCTCGGTTCCCAGATTGAGCGCCTCGCCACATTAAGCCAAGAGCTCGGCAAGGACGGACTCACGGTCCTTGTCGACCACCCTTCCCAGCTAGACTCAATTAGTCGGCTCCATGATCTAAGCGGTCTCCCAGTGGGCGTCTATCTCAAAGTAGACACGGGATATCACAGGGCAGGGCTTCCCGCCACGGCTCTCAACAAGGGCGGCCTGCTAGAGCAGCTTATGCAACTGGACGCGCAAGGCAAAGCGACCTTGGTGGGGCTGTACTCACACAGCAGTCTCAGTTATAAGGATGACACCGCTGACCAAGCGATGCACAATCTCGCTGGGGAGATCGAGGGCTGTCTGGAAGCCCTCCACGCCAACGAAAGTCTCCTCGCGGCCAACGCCTCGAGAGAAATCACTATTAGCGTTGGCGCGTCTCCTCAGGTCACGGCCATCGAGAACCTCACGGGCGCCACGGCGATCAGCGGGTCCGGCGAAGCGCGTCTTCGGGCGGCTATCGGCAAAGTCCAAGCTGGGTCGCCGACTGTGAAGTCGACGCTCGAACTCCACGCCGGGGTATATGCTTTCCTCGATATGCAGCAAATTTCTACCCATTCGCGGACTGCACTAGGGAGCTATGAAGACGAGGTTGCCATCTCCGTTGTAGCCGAAGTTTGCAGCGTCTACAATGATGGCGAGCGGGAGAGGCCAGAGGCTCTCGTCGCTGTTGGTGTGCTGGGTCTCGGGAGGGAGCCCTGCCCTTCTTATCCGGGCTGGGGCGTCGTCGGGCGGCAGCCCGAGTTTGAAGCTGCGGGAGAACGGAGGCTTATCGTGGATAGGATCAGTCAGGAGCACGCTATTCTCTCGTGGGAGGCTGACGCTGGAGCGAACTCTGATCTACCGCAGATCCCGCTCGAGGTTGGTCAGTCTGTCAGTATCTACCCAAACCATGCATGTGTTACCGGTGCTCTGTATGGTTGGTACCTTGTAGTCGACTCGAGCAAGTCTAGCAAGACCGAGATCGTGGATGTTTGGGTTCGGGGATCGGGGTGGTGAATGAAATCATACGGAGCTGTACAAGGGAGACAGACCAAATGTCTTGTGGGCGAAATCAAAAACAGAATCATATTTCGAAACTCTCTACCAACTCCTTCAGAGCTTTCAAGTTGCCCTTGTCCCATGCCGTGACCTTTCCCTGCCACTTCTCCCCACCACCACCGCCCTTCACCCCCGTCACAACGTCCTTGATCTTTGGAACGAGCGCCTCGACAGCAGCCTTCTCACCGAGAACAGAAATTTGTCCGCTGTTCCCGTCATCGCCAGTAGCCAAAACAACAACTCCACCACAAGCCATCACAGCGTCCTTGATGTTGACGGTAACCCACTTCACAAAGTCCGCGTTGCCATCCGCGCGATGAACCCACACACCCTTCGTGGATTGCAACTTGGTCTTTGCAGCATCTGCCTCAAATTCGGCAATATCCGCAAGAAGTTTCTTTTCCCTCTTCTTGAGATCCGCCGCGGAGCTCTGCACGGTCTTCACGGTCTGAACTATTTCTTCGGACGTGTTTTTGCACGACAGCAGCTTTGAGAGAGAGCTCATTGCACCGAGGGAGGCTGTCGCCAGGTTGATGGCTCGATCGCCGACGGAAAAGTAGAGGCGGTAGTTCTTCCCATGGACTGGTTCGCCGTGATGGACGAGGATGAGTGAGATGTGGGATGTTTGGGAGAGGTGAGTGCCACAGCATCTGCAGCTTGTGTGTCAGCATCAAGACACTACCAAGAACGATTTAGCATGGTGTGTGAGGGTTGCATACGTATTGCGATCGATGTCGCCGATCCGGATCACACGAACGACTCCTTTACTTTGATCATAATCCTCGGGCATCTTATGGACCTTGGCATCCTCCGGGGTTTCGACTGTAATTGGGAAGCTGGCGCGGATGATTTCGTTACACCTCGCCTGAATGGCTTGTAGTTCCGCATCTGAAGGTTTCCGCGGAATATCGACGTAGTTCATCGCCCCAGTCTTTCCCATGCCCCAGCCGAGAGTGTTGAGGTTGTCATGGGTGTTCATGACGGCGGACAAGAGATGTTGGCCCGTATGCTGCTGCATGTGGTCCCATCGGCGCTGGAAATCGACTTCTTGTCGTACCTTCTCACCGGGATCTAGGGGTTTGGGAGAGTGATAGACGCATCGTAGCCCAACGCGTTCGACAAATTGAATGGGGATGGCGGTAGCATCCGTGCTTGAGAGGGGAGTGATTGATCCGTGATCAGACGGTTGTCCGCCGCCTGGGGAGCGCAGTTGTGTAAGTCTAAAGTACCAATAGTTTCATTGAAGTCGTGCGGTACCTTCGGGAAAGAGGACGGAGTCGGCGAATTCGATCAACCACACCTCATCGGTGCTGCTGTTGGAGACTGGTCCCGCAGATTTGTCCTTGCTGGTCTTCTTTGTTGGTGGGGGTGGGGGTCTCTTTTCACATGAGATGACCTCTGCCTCTAGAGTGCGAAGATATGAGTTCTGTTGACAAGCTAATGCCCCGACTACTTGGGCCCGAGTTGATTCTGTGACTGCCATTTTTGAATGAGTCTTGCAACGTTTGGATAAGAATTGGCTCAATTGAAACGTAGTTTGATGCTGTGTAGTGAGTGAGTCAATTGAGATAGTGGCCAACATCATCGATGAGATGAGGTAAGAAGATAAGAAAGGTGGAGACGGATGTCGGCAGTCGGGCTGATTGAGCGCCGGTTGCCAACTCAGCTCACGTGATTCTCATCCCGCAAATTCGTTTTGGTCAGGCTGTCAACGACAGAGGGAACATCATTCCATTCCGGCAAGGATGCGAGTCAGGTTGTCTGGAACTGTGAAGACAAGTGGCGTTGATCACCACTGGGCTTCGCCCCATACTTGCCTGCGATGACCCAACGCTTCGGTGGCGTTCTTCGTGGTTGTGCATCCGGCATTGTCACGCTATTCTCACGGTGAAGCGCTGACTGAGTTTGGGTCAAACGTCCATATTTAACATATTATAATCATTAGATGTTGCGATAACTAATAACAATGCCTACTTCTCATCGCGCGGCGTTGGAAGCACACGTCCACGGCTTGGTGCCCTTCTCATTTGCAATCGACTCGATAGACGCCCACAGACCAAGCACGCAGATGAGGAATCCCGTAAGGAACAGGATAACATTGGCCACGAACTTGCACGTCTGCTTTCCGTCCTTGAACCAGTTGCCGTAGTGCATCCACAGCCAGAAAATGCCGGGGAGACCGTATGAGAACCACGAGGCGAACAGTGCGCAAATGAGGCCGAGCAGCGAGTTGAACACAGGGATGGACTCGGCAATGACCATGGACAGTGCCCAGATGCCGACGACGATACCGATCCACGCGATGCCGGAGAGCTTGGTGCGGCGAATCATGTGCTTCGTGTTGCGGAACAGGCGCGAGAAGATATACTTTGCGGCAACGTGGCCGTAGATGACACCAGCGATGACAATGGTCGGGATGGCGATGCCCCAGATGGCCTTGCGCATCGTCTTGGAGCCGGCGGCGGAGAGGGCGGGGGAGGGGACGTCCGGTCCGACGAAGACGTAGATGACGATGGCGGCGAGCAGGTAGAGCGTCGTGTCGGCGATCTGGAGGAGGGCCAGGGCCTTGGGCCAGTCCTCGGGCTTCTTGAACTCGCCGATGACGCTGAAGAAGCAGGAGTGACTAGAGAAGGCAATAGCGATGTTGGTCACGGCGAGGAAGGCGCCGGTGAAGCCGAGCTGGCGGGCGACTTCGATGCTGCCGGAGCCGATGGGGCGGGAAACGGCGACGTCACCGAGGGTCATGAGGACGGCCAGGGTGATGGACAAGCATGCTATGTATCTTGGTAAGTCAAAGTTCACGAAAGCAAATTCTCGAAATAAGGGCGGTTGAACTCACAAGCCATGGACATGTAACTCGTGTACTTGAGCGTTCTCGGGAAGTTGAGCACAGCGAAAACAGCCAAACCGACGACGGCCCACACAATGGTGCAGGTAGACGAGTTGGTCAGGGTGTTGAGGCAGATGGTCCAGGTCAACAAGTGGCTGCCCATGACAAAGACCTGGAAGATAACCTGCGCCCAGCCAAAGACCTCCTGGAAGACGGCGCCCATACCAATGGACTTGCCGATGACCTCGACGGCGTCGCCAAAGTTTTGCACAAAGGGGTACTCGTTGCGGAACTCAGCGAGGACGAGGCCTGAGTACGTCGACAGGAAGCTCATGACGAGGATGAGGACAATGCCCGGGACGAGACCGACAGTCGCCAGAACGGAGGGCAATGAGAGGATGCCCAGGGACACGGTCTCGGCGATAAGGACGATGCCACCTTGCCTGAGAGTATATGGGTTAGCAAACGAATAGCCGTGGCGTCGTTGAAGCATAGCCTAGACGTACCACCAGGTGAGAGTCTTGTAGTCGATCAGTTCACCGTCCTCTCCCGTCAGGACGCTGTTGTGCTCCTCCGCCGTCGCGGGCACGTAGGCCGGCGCGGCCTCCTCACGATCGCCGACATCCTTCTTAGCCTGGTTCTGAGCCTCCGTCATCTCGGGGCTGTTGGTAACTTCTGTGGCGCTACCCATTTTTGCCTATGGTATACACACAGATGTGTGATATCGGTCACTGTTTGCTGTACCTGACGCGTTGAAGCTGTCAGTAAGTCCGTCCGTCGCCCTGCGTGATGAAGAAGAAGCAGGATGAAGTTGAGAAGTGGTTCAGGAAAGGAGAGAACCACGACGGACGTTCAGGTGAAGGACGAAGAGAGGGAAACGGTAAAAAATCTCTCGCATTCAAGATTCAGAATCATTCTATCCTTGGGGGGGACCAGATTTCTTGATATAATCCACCCAGGCCACGCCGCGATCGGCCTCGTCAACCTCACTGGAACCCGCGCAGGGCGAATTGGTCATACGAGACATCTGCCGAGGCGATCTCGGCGCGTCCGCAATGGCGAACCGCGCAGGGCCAGAGGGCCGTCAGACGGCCCACGGGGGTGTGAGAAGTTGTGAACTCTTGCAGCGGCACCTTTCCCAGCAGAATGACTCGGGGCCCGCACCTCCGGCCCACTCGGGATTGTGGCAACTTGGGGGACTTTGTGCCTGGACGTTGAAAGTTTGGAACACCGCACCCCTGCCCGGCTCTGGAGCCTCATCCACCACAACCACCACCATCTACGGAAACCCTTCCGCCGTTGATTCTTTGCCGGTGATGCCCGTCTTTTCAGTGTGTTCAAACTGACGTCTCATCCACATACTGGGTGTCGCATCTCACTTTAGCCTCAAAGTCATGAGGGGAACTTGAGTCCCGCTCCGGCAGCTAAGAAAATCCATCATTCGATCCCAAGCTTTCTCCCACCCCCAACTCCCTAAGCTCAAGAAGAAGAAAAAAGTCAATGGGCTGATCGGCCACCACCAAAAACCCAAAAGACGCAGAGTCACCGTACCAAAAAAAGACTACAAAGAACAGGAAAATCTGCCCGGAACGCGCCTCGTACCAAAAAAATCTTCAAGCGCGCATTACCCATCCGTACCATCTCAACCCATCAAAAAAGTCCCACACGTTGGCTAATATTTACGTGATTATATCCACTTGGCACGGGTTTTACTAATGTTGACGTCCCAGTTGGTTTGTGGAGTGGTCAATTCATGTTATTCCCAACTCCACGAGCGCAAGTCCCCCAATCTGCCCATTGCCCATCCTCTTTTGCAGGTCCCCTACCGAAACCCAAGAAAAGTCTGGAAAGATTTTCGGCCCTATTTCCCCGCGTGGTTCCTCACGATCCACGCAACGCAAGCCGATGCCGCAGCCCGCATGCCCGGGGCCGGCGCATGCAGTCAAATCTTTTACGCAAATTTGTTCGCCAACGGGGTTTCCTGGTGTCTTGCTTTTGACTCTTGCGCCCACGGATATGAGTGCTTCCCCCTTTTGCTACTCCGCTCTGGTCTGCATGGTCTGCATGCTGCATAGAACGGCTCATTTCGCCGTAATCCGCTTCATTCTAGAAGGCCGCAACCGGTTGTCTCTATTCCTTGTGTCCTCTTCCTGTTACCGCGGACCATGGAGACGCGGCCACGATTGCCTATCCCGGATCCGTAGCCTCTCGAGTCTCAAGTAGGTTTACTGTTCATCGGGGTGAGCATTCGTACTTCTGTGCATAAGTTGCATTAGATCAATAGAAACATGTGAAGGGGACTTTTGAAGGCACCAGATTGTAGCTAGGCCATCGAGAGCCTGTAATGCTCTTACTTTCCTTCGTAGCCACATGATAAACAACATAAGATTCTTCGGGGAAAAGGTACTCGGAAGGCAGCTAAACAGGACACAACGTTCCATTTCCCCGTATAACGCACATATAGTCATATACTAGTCCATACACGTGGATCTGGAGAACCGCGGAAGTCCGTCCCTCGTAGATCCCGTCTTGCCCGCCAAAGGTTCACGACGGCTCACGACGGCTCTCCCGAGTGGCCCCTTCCCTCTTTCTTCATCTTGTTCCCCTTTTTTTACCCTTTTAGGACGACGGGCTACTACTCCACGGTCTCTATCTACTAATCGTTCTCTTACTCACCCGCGGGTAACCGAGATCTGAGATCTCCTATCCGTACGCCTACTCCCTCTTTCCCCGGATCTTCTCACTTTCCCCTCCAAGCCATGTGCTAGATAGATCTTGTTTTTTCCCCTTCCCGTCCCCCGCAATCTGCAACGTTGATGAAGGGTTCGTGTCACTTTAAGAGGGGGCGGGGGGAGGGGGTTTCCCTATGATCGAGATGGCGTGCTTGTTGTTTGTGAGAAAAACTGGAGCCATCTTCTGGAGAGACAGCAAGTGTGAGTGAGTATATGTAGTGTGTGGCTGCCCAATGATGAGGTGCTTGTGTCAAAGATTTCCAACATTGGCTATGAATGACGGCTTATTTCCTACAAGTATATCATTGATGCTAGTTTTATATCAAGTTTGGACTGTCGACTGAATCGCCGAAAGCCTAACTTGTCAATGATGCTCGTCTCTATCCTCTCGAGGGTCCTTCCTCGGAGTCTCGTACATCAAATCGATACTAACAGGTTATTAGAGTCACTTCCCATGGCAACTTCGCTTTCAGGGAAACACATCGGACGACAGATATTGATGAAAGTTGATGTCTCATTCAGTCGGGAATCATACATCCCAGGTATCCGTCTAGTCTCCTCTCCCCGATCCACCCAAACTCCCTTTTTACCCTTCTTCATCCCATACACATTATAATTACGGTGTTAAGTCATATGTAACAGGTAACGGGCCATCCCGTTGGGGAGCGTTGCGTTATTTCATTGGTGTGATGATAACGACTATCCACTCAACCTTTTCCTCCGCATTCTTCAATGGTGTCCAGTGGCTGGTGAGCTTCTCCATCTTCCCTGCCTCGCTCACAAGACTGGCAAAACCCGACCTGCTGACAGGTCGTCCATGTTTCTTCGTGCTGCCGTCTGATTCGTCTTTGGATGAACGCCCGCCGAGGCCAATGAGACTGCCCTTCCGTGCGAGGTAGTTACCGCCGAGCATGATATCTAGCGTGGCCGTCTTTCCGTTTTGAATCACCCGTTCGCGCACCGTGTTCTTGAAGCTCTTCGTAATCGATGGCGAGTCCGCGAGGTCGGAAAGGACGGTAAAGATGTCTCGGTGCGTAATGCTATCGGCGAAAAGGCCGAGGCCGAGCGCCTCCAGCGCAGCGGCTGAACAAAAGGCAACACTCAGCTGAGCGGCCTTTCTCTTGTTAGGGTCTGGAGGTAGAGACGATGACCTTGGTGGGAAGGCGGAAGGTCCGTCCGTGTTTTGCAAAACAATGAATCGGCTGTAGCCAGAGTAAACAGTGTCCAGCTGAGTGGGTGCCGAAAGGTGCTCTTCCGAGCTCGAAACCGTTAGCAACTGCTCCAAGCCGAGGCCAACGCCCTGCGACGGTGACGTATTTTCCTGATTGTTGCTGTTGTGCGTCGCATGCTTTCGGAATGGTTGGAAGAGGCTTTTCTTGGGCCCTTTGTTGTGTAGACTATCCCTATTGCGGAGACTGGTCCGTCGTTCCTGTTTTCTGTCTCGGCTGCTCGTACGGCTCATGCGGCGACTGACTCGGGACTCACGACCCGAGGTCTCTTCCTTTACCTCATCTAGCGCCGGCCCAAAGTTGAGAATCCGGAGGAGGTCTTTGTAGCCACCAACGTTGTCCGACACGTTGATCTGCCCTCCGAGGTAGTATCGTAGCTTGCCGGAAGAGTCCGTGAGCGGACAGGTGAATAGAAGATTCCAGTACGGGGTGCCGTCTCTCCGGTAGTTGAGTACGAGCTCCAACGACTCCTCCTCCCGCGCGACAGTATCTCGGATGCGTTTGACGGTGTCCTGGTCCGTGAGTGACCCTTGTAAGATACGGCAGTTGCTTGAAAGAGCCTCGACTTTCGGATACCCAGTAACAGAAACGAAAGCATCTGATGCGGCGATGATGGGGTAGTCTGAGCTCAAGGCATCCGTCAAGCAGAATGACTCGGCAAGACCAGGATATTTGAAGACGCGAGTGCCGGATAGAGCCGCCGAGGTAGAGATGGCAAGCTGATGCTTCACAAATTCTGGATAGATGGACCGGGCAACTCGTTGCTCGACGCATCGTGTAGATTCTGCAAACATCGATTCGAGACCTGGGAGAACAGAATTTGTCAACTGCTTCATATCGGCATTCAATGACTTGGAGACAGTTGAAGGTAGATTTGCTGGTGTCGGCATTGATGAGGCTTGTTTCCCAAACAGTGCTAATGATTTCGCGTATTCCTGGGTCCTTAGAAGAAATTCGAGGTCCGAACCGCAGCCATGATTTTGGGCGAAATGGAAAAAACGTTGAGAGGCGGAAGCGTTGGCAAGAACCATCTGAAAGACCTCTCGGCCAAGGAAGTCTGGTATAGACAAAGTCTCTGGTTCGATCTCCATGACTGGTGGCCCGAAGCTTCGGCGCAGACTTGTTGAGACGCTGTCGAGACTGGGCCATATACCGGGCCCAAAAGTCGGGGATCTCGGGGACCCATCGGGATTGTAGTCGGTGTATCGACGGAAGGCGTCTTCGTTGGTGTGTAATGACAGGCCAGAATTGCTCCTCAGGCGCAAGGACATCTTATTCGGTCGTGAGCTTCGGGGCGTCGGGGGCGGAGAGAATCTCATGGTGGGAACGGGCAGGCAGGCCGACGATGGACTGCTTCTCAATCCTGGGCCCCGTAGACCCTTTGGGCTTTGGTTGTAGTCATCATCGTATGGCGGTGTCACGGGTGACCTTCGAGACATGGAAGAGGCCATGTTTGTAGTTCGGTTGGAAAAGGAAAAATGAGTGACGAAAAAGGAGCGTGATAAGTGACAGCCCTCTGGCAGGCTCGGCCGGACGTAGGAATATGACGGAAGGCGTCTATTACAAGGAACAAAGTAGCAGCTTTAGAAAAAGATACTCGTTAGCAACGACTACGGCCGCATGTTATGTGATGCAGAGAAACAAAGTGACTGACACCGATAACACATGCCACCACGAGTTGGAGGGGTTTCTCTGGAGATGGAAAAGACGGCCGACCTCCGGTGCTTATAGCAAACGCGCCAGTGGACGAACCCTGACTCGCACTGGGACAGTCTCTTTGGTGTTGTGCCAGGCTTGTCAAACGCCGTAGGCAATAAGATGTCTTAGCTCGACGCCACGAACTTGTGGGGGAAAGCCTGGCTTGCTAGAGCCTGGGTCTTCGGAGACAAACACACATAATGAGCTGCGTCTGCCGAGCGTTCTCCTTGGTTCATTGTCCCATGGCGCAGAGCAACGTTGAGGCCCGATATGCGACTTTGCTTGCGTCTGCAGGTGCGCATCGTCGATCACTACCATCAATGCCTGCCAGCTAGTCCATGAATGAGCTGCCGATATTGGCCTTCCGACCTCGTTGACTAGGACTGGGCTAGCTGCTGGTCTGTTGTTCCAGGCTTGACCATCAGGGGTCACCCAGGAGCAAACTGCATGTGAGTGTAAAAAAAGCAACGAGACCGTGCGTCAAAGTCGGTTGGCGACTTGATTGTGGCGGCGTCGAGAAGCTCCTTAAGCTCCTTCACACGGCGATTCTACCTCGCCTAACAGCACTGTGCTGGAGCTAAGATGGACGGGGGTTGGGTGAGGATGCCACCATGCCATCCGAAGTCTGGCGTCGACGATGAGGAGGAGAGCTGCGAAGGCGTAAGGAACAACCAAAGATGCAAAGGTTGGCCAGGAAATGTTGGCTGAATCTTGGTCCACATGGTAGACGATCTCCCGCCATTGCGTGACGACGGAGTGGCACAGGCCTATTTTGGGTCCCTCCCAGACCGCCTGGTTGGCGCCTGTCCTTGTCGGGGGTTCATGAAGGGGCACGACGCCGTTGCGACGCTTTGGCCGGTGGCGGTGGTTGGATGTCGCATGCTGCTTTTGGCAGAGTAGCGTGAGGAGGTACACGAAGGCAAGAAATGTTGTCATGCAGAAAGCGGCGGTCAGCAAAAGGCGAGAGAGAAAGCAGGGTTGGCTCTGCAGTCGCTATTGGAGGTTTCGTTAACAGTGTCCATGTCCGTACGCCAACACGGGATTGAGGAAGCCGCGCAGGCGGGAGAGATAGAGGGACATCCGTATTTTCGTTTCAGTATAAATGAAGGTCTCGGATACCATCGACGTGAATGTCGCAGATCGAATGGAACATGTCGCTCTTTAGAGCCTGGTACTGGCTCGGTGGATGGACCGTCGTTGGTGTGCCCCGCGGCATCTTCCTTGAACGGCAGACCAACGGTATCCGTGATCTCGTCGCCACACCAGCGAATGCTTCTCGTGTTTACCGGTGTGGCCCGGTGACCATCGCAGCTAATAGCGCTGGCGGGGACCATGAAGAGGAGGGGCGGGAGAAGAACTGCGGGCAGTAAAAACCGACTGTGCGTCTAGCTCACGACTAGGTGTATCAGGTATCCATCCTTGCGGGAGGCTCTAAATGGCCAATATCGAGCCGTTTTCAGGTGAAGAGCGATCGATAAGTTGATGAGTCGTCACAATTGACACGCGTGGGAGGACGAAAGAGAAGCTGGAGAAACACAAAGAGGTCTATGCTTAGCCAGAGTTTGGCGGCATTCCATCGTCTAGTCCGGGCGCCTGGATGATCAGACGGTCCTTGCATGGATAGGCGGGCTGCGAGAGGGCGGGAACGACTTCAGACGAAAGAGACTGTGGTCTGTGTGACTAAACTGGCTGATTGTGTTCCTCAGCTGCGACTCGTCGTGTGATGTGCGAGCTGGAAACACCCGGTAGAGAGATGCAGAGAACTTTGAGAAGTGGGAGGAAAGCTGAGGTGGAGAGATGGAAGGGACGAGATGCACAGTGCCCGGGCTGCTAGGTCGAGTACGTACCGTTGTTCCAAAGGGGAGTACGTACCGCCAACGCTCGTCGTTTGCGCCTCAGACACTCAGGTCATCAAGCCTCAATGGCCGCACCAAATTTCTCCCATCCAACGCTCCTCATCCACCAGCTGGCTTACTGCTCAGTTATCGACGGCCAGCCTCGAGGACACTGGTGATATCAGAACCTGCCATTACACGCCCGAGCTTCGTGCGGCAAGCTTCTCCTCCTGCCATACCCCAGGGTTCAGTTGCCAAAAGGACGTGATCGATGAACAGCTCACCGTCTACTGCCATCCATCCGCATGAGAGCCGTTGACACTGTGGGGAAACCACGCGGGAACCAGCGACATTCTGTGGGTAACAGCGTGGTGGCTGACACCCGTATGAGAAAAGGAAGCATAATCGAGCCAGGCTCTCAGCCTAGACTTGTTAGCTCTCAGATTAGACGCTGCAGGAGTATAGGTCAATCAAGCCTATGACTGATCCTACATAAACGGGGATTTGGAAAAAGTATTCAACGGGTAGTTTTGTCAATCCTCTCCTTTCCTTCCATTGCAGCATGCTTAGCCTTTTGAGAGTTGGATATTTCATATCACCATGACATATGCTAGATATTAAGTCTGCACGTGCAAATATTGCAGCTCTAGATTGAGCAAGCGAAGGTTGACCAAATTCCGGCAGTCCGCTTCAAGCCTTAGCCACGGGATCTCACAAGAACCCCAGATGTTGGCCAGATGCTCAGGCTTCCGGTCCGGTCAATCCCAATCACACTAAGAAATGCACCAGCCAACAACGACTATTCCAGTTAGCTTGAGGCTGCTGGAAGTGCTAAAATTACCTACATGACAATCGCCTGAGTGAAATGACGGCTAGGCCACGATGAGGATGAGGAATAGGCGAGATGCTACAGACGACTCAAAGGCCAGAGAGACACTCAGATGGTCGTGTTTCGCGAAGCGTTCCGGCGAAACTCAATGAACACAGCTTCAGCTTAATTTACCCGTCATAATCAAAGCTCGATTACAAGATGTGGTTCGTACCCTTAGCCTGACAAACAAGCTCCATGTGCGCAGGGGTCTCTTTATTTCTTTCTTCAGAGAAAAGCTTCATCGCTTCACACAAGGCCCGACGACGACATTATCATAGGTCCAAAGTATGGTTTCACCTTGCATCTTATTCAAGAGTTCCCAAATTTCATCATGCCCTTCTGGTACCTGGTCCTTTCAAAGCAGACAGTCCAAGGAGTGGGACTCCGTTGGCAAGCGTGAGGTCATTCCAGAGGAAGTTTTGAGAGTCACACTTTGTACCTCTACAGGCAAAGCTCAAGTGAGCTAGAGCAGAAACGAGCTCCCGGAAAGTGGGTATCGGCTGAGAGGTTGAAATACTATTTGCCCCTGCCGACAGAGGCTGTCACGGAATCGCACTTGATGCTCGTTGAGCATGGTCTCTATTCAAATTATTGTTTTTGATAACTGGCGACGTGTGGATTCCGGCCTCGGGAGTTTTAGGTGAAAGGCGGCACTATTGAGGTTCTGATTCCGTAGCTGGGGCAAACAATACCCATCGCTGGTTGGGAAAAAGGTGCACGGCGAGAGGGTTCCAGATTCGTGATCTCAATGTCATCGTGGATTATGTAAGCAATATGCATGACTAAGGAAGGTCGCCCCGATGGCCCAGCGGCGGCCGCTATAGAGACTTTCCTACGGGCGCTAAATCGCTAAAACGGACTTCAACGGCGCTGGAGGCAACAGCATTGGCCAGGCGGCAACGGACCCGCCTTGCAGAGCTTGCGACACGCTGTGACACCTCATTGTCGACATCGGCCGAGATTTGACGTTACACCTACAACTACAGCCGCAACTCAATCATCATCATCACCTGCTCTTCTCCCTCCAAACCCCAGAGAAGGCGAAGAACACCTATCGTACATGCGTACGATACAACTACACTCGCTACGATGCCTCTCAACCATCGGCTTGGACAGGCTCTCACAGAGGCTCGATCCAAAGCTCGATCAGTATACCATCTACTGCGTGACCGCGGCGTCAACGACGAGGCACGCGTAGCTGTCAGAAAACTTCTTGGTACTCTCCATAGCCTTTGGTTATTGTTTGAAGACTTCGCAGAACAAGGCACTTCGCCAGCGTGCCCAGATCACACCCTTTTTGACGACTTGAGCGATCTTCTTGATAACCCCAGCCTCGCGTGGTCAGCAAGCTCGGCAAGACCAAGAAGCGAGGCTCCTTCTCTCTCAGCGTTTACCTCGAGTATCTACAGAATTCAGTGTCAGCTCGATTCTCTTGTGCGTTGCGACTCTTGGGCCGCCTTGCTCGTGCGCCTGTCGACGGACGAATACCGCAAAGACGTTCTCAGCCAACACCTGGATCATACAGTCGAATTCACACCCAAATCCACAGAGATCGATAGCGACAGGTGTATTGCCATACTTCTGAATGCCGAGTTTGACAAACAATTGACTGAATGCTTTATACACCGGCAATACGTTGCTGAGAGAGACATCAAGTGCCCCGAATATGGTGCGGCAGCAAAGCTTCTACCCGATTTGGCCCGCCAACGATACACCGATTACAAGACACCTCTGCATGTGCTTTTTCACTCAAGGAAGTCGTCGCACTTTCTTCAATGGCTATTGGAATACGCCAGGCAGGAATGGCCGGAGCAGTTCAACCTTAGCTCCGGTGCCCTCTCGATGACACCTCTGAATCTGCTGATGTCGAGACTCGAGGATGACTCGGTCACTCCTTTCCACGTTGCTGCGTCATTGGGGCTTCCACGGCTCTGCGAGCAACTTTTGTTGTGGGGAGTGGACGTCAATAAGCCGAGCTCTATGGGCACCCCTCTTTACTGTGCATTGCTCGGTCCAACGGCCCTGTTAGGACGCTCTGCAGACCCCTCACAACTAGTGTCTGACTGCAAGCCTACCGATTCTCAGGAGGAGACTATAAAAGTCCTCTTGGATTCAGGAGCTTCGTGTACTGTGGAAACAGCTGGCCCTTGCCAAGACGAAAAATTCTCACTGGCAACATTGGCATTCCTCATTTGCCAGGCGATCCGTGCTCCTAAGATCCTACTTCAACTTCTCAAGTTGGGCATTAGCCTTGATCTGAGATTCGTACAGCTCTTTCATGGGAAAGATTCTCTTCTACAATACTGGCCATCGCCTCTCAAGCCACCGACGCGCTCGTTTTTGGAGGGAATGCTTCCCGCGATCCTTGACAGAGCAATTCCCGAATATGACAGCTACAATGATATATCGCTATTGGCCACAGGTATCTATGAGATCCTAGACCACTTTGATTTGGCTCGTCCTTCTAGTATTGCCAGGTCTCGACCTCTTGACGTCTCCGACACCCTGTATGTTGAACTAGTCCGAGAAGCAGTCCAAGATGGCGAGACGGCAGTTGTGAGAAGGCTTATCTTGGATCCTCGTTGGAATCCAAATGCTTTGATGGCGCCCCAGAGAGTACTATCAAGCGCATCATCAGAAGATGAATTTGCTATGGAGGAGCCTCGAGATGGAACCACAATCCTACACTACGCGGCGGAGACCGACGAAATAGCTCTACTGGCTGCTATCTTGACATCGGGAGAAGATGTCAATGTCCATGTTCGCAACCATAAAGACCAGACACCCCTGATGTTGTCAGAGTCGCCCGAGGTATTTAGGCTTCTTTTGGACCATGGAGCAAGAACCACAGACACCGATGAAAGTGGACGTAACGTTTGGCACTTCGCAGCCGCCAATTCAGACATCGAGCTACTGGACTGCCTTCAAGAGTACGACAAGCACAAAGACCACAACCTGAGGGCTGTAATGAATGACGGCCAGACCCCCATTGCCGAAGCCGTCCTCTATCCCTTCAGCTCCATGAGGAAAGGGCAAAAAATAACGCCCGCAGCATTAAAGGGGGCGATTCACATGCTTAAAATTTGCAGGCCAGATCTCGCCTACCTCAAAAGCCCGGAACCTCTCGTTCTTCTGGCTGTCGAATGTGGCTCGGCGGACCTACTCCGCAGCTTGATTGACTTCGGCGCGGACCCCTTCGAAGTCGATGGAGAATCTCGGAATGCCCTGCACTATCTCAACGTGTCGGCTACAAATCTTCTGATCGATATTCTTCTCAACTTGGATTTCGAGACCATCCTAAATCCCCAAGGAACGTCTCCGGCGGAAACAATCTTCCAGGTTTTCAATGACAGGGCCCTATTTGGTCCCACATTCGCCACTCATCCCGCCAGCTTTTGCACTCTAGATGCTGACGTATACAGCCGCCTGCTTGACTACAAGAATATTCTCACCAGCCGCGATGATGCCGGTATGGGGCTGTGGGAGCGGTTTTGTCGCAACGTCTTTGCAACAGATGCTCCCAGATGGCCAGCAGAACTGACTAACTCTGCGCAATCATCACTGCAAATTGCTGTGGAATGCTTGATCAAGAAAGGAGCCTTGGCCAAGTACGAAGAGGAACGTGGACGGTGCGGTATCATTCCAATCTTCTCGAGGTGGACAGAGATTTCTGGCACCAAAGGACGGTTGCCCAAATGGCTGGGATCAATACTATTGCCAATTCTCGAAGTCACGACGAAAATAGACGAAGTGAGAGAATCGCCAGGTGTGGTAGAATTCATCACACGGGCCACTGAGCTGGAAAATCACGAAATTGCCCAACACTATTTGAACACGGGGGATCATGAAACGGCCCAACACTATTTGGATTTAGGGGATATGGTTCCCGAGTGATGCCATGCTCAGGAAATAGCTCAGGTGTTCCCTGACATTGTGCGAAGCCAAAGCAGGACCGAGGAGGCTTCGGACCACTCTAGGAGTAGGAGGAAATAGTCAGAGCGGTGGTCAGAATGTAGGACACGAACTTTCAGGGATTAAAGCCCGTATGGGGCAGTTTTGGCTTTTGGAAAGTCTGGACTGGATCTTGAAGTTTCTGCATTTTGTGCGATGGCAATGGCAGGGACGAGCGGTGAGGACTGCGGTCCTCGGCGTGGACGAAGAGGGCAACGAGCTCTTCAAAGACGGCGATCCATCATCTGGAGGATGAGCATTAGCGTAACATGCATAGCCGAGCGTCTCTCTTGCCATACCTTGTTTTCAATACCAAGATGGTTTCAACAACAGCCGTACTCTTCGAGTAAGCTGCGCGAAGGCAGACAACTGTGAGACTGGCGACAGAACAGGGCTCCCCTGATGGGATACCTGGTTTTTGCCGCCTTCCATTCTTTCCCAAATCATAGTGCGGTGAACATATATGGCTAGAACTGCTTCCTTCATCGCCATCTTCCCCCAAGGTAGGGTAGCCGGCATCGCGATGGTCAGAACGGCAGTGGGCAGCTCTCGCGGATATACCTGTGCCTGAATTCAACAAACAACAAGGCGAAGACGAGAAAAATGGAGTTCACCCCCGATGTGGCTACATCTCTTGGCGATTGTCATGGTGCTCATGCTGGGATTCAAACTCGGGTACTCTCGCTAAAACTGTCGTCGAGTAGGCTGGTTGGCGTAAATCTGATTGTCGACCATTAACCGTTCCACCACCCAGACAGTTTGCCTTGACCAACCGGCCTAGGAAGGCGTCTGCTGTGCTGGTGAAGAGAATTGGATTGAGGGGCGGAATATAGGTTCGTGGCTTGTTTTCGTGGGTGTATACTGGATGAATAAGGATGCGTGGGAGAGTGCATGATTCATCGCTGAGATGAAATTTTCAAGCAGCATCGCCGTCATTACGATCAGTCAACAGAAACAAAGCATCGAAGCCCGGTTTAGCAGAGGTACACCTCTAGCCATGCGCTAAAAGATAGAAGACATGTTGCTATTAGTTGCTTTACCCTAAGATCACCTAAGAATACCGCTCTGACTTCCCTTGTTGAATGCAATCTGCTCTCCTCTGACCTCCGCAACGCCAACTCTTTCATATATCTCGCAGAGCCCGTCAACAGCAACAGAGTGCACGACTATTATGTAATGTGACTGTTGAGGGTCGCCTTGTAAATCCTTTCTCCTCGCCACAATGACACATCTGAGGTTCGAGAGCTTCCTGTCTGGATTGTCGAGCTCCAGCTTGAGGCTATCACAGCCCCGAAAGTCCCATACAGGCCCCTTGATCTCACATACCCCCTCTTTCTCGCCCCTCTCCTTCATGCTCTGAGGTGACCAAGTCCTAAACGGCGAGATTATGTCCGCCTCCCAAGAATACTTGTTGAAGGGAACATTCAAGTATTTGATCTCGCCGTCATAAGCCATCCATGACCATGATGGAACATAAACTCCTCTAAGCAGTTCCGACTCGATACGATTCAGAGACCGGCTGGCCTTTTTCCACAGTAGACATTGATGCAAGAAAGTATCGAAAACTCCATGAGAGCCGACAGTTCTGAAAGTGCGGATGAGACGTGCTTCAAGCCCGCGGATGGCAACTGGCCTATCACCAATGGAGCTGAGTGCCAACCCCGAGTACTTCTGGTAGAGATCCTGGTAAAGCTCAATCTTCATTCCGCGAACGTAGGTGTCAATGGAGTGTGAAAAGTCCGAGTTCAGGAACGAGGCCTTGCGGCTGATACATCGAAAAGTCAGTCAAGAGAGTCTAGCTGAAAACATTGGCAGACCCGTCCAGACTCACTTTCTCATTTTCGTCATTGTTTCACACCTTACGCCTCTTCCACATTCCCAGTACGTCTGCTTTTCCGAGAAATAGATTGTGCGGCGGACAGAGCTCGTTCTTGAAGAATCCAAGCCCGCTTGTTCAACTCCCCCTGTTCTACATCACGCCCAAAGTCATCGATAGATTCGCAGATGTAGTAGGAGCCCCTGTTGGATGCTAACGTAAGACATTGTCGCCATGGTCGAGGTTTCAAGAAGCCGTCCTCGGTACCGCTTGCGCAGCTAGCTGCAAAAGTTGCATAGGCCGAGCTGTACACCTGTTCCATGAGAAGAGACTCCATCTTCCAGTCTTCAGGGTCATCCTGAACTATGTAAAGCGCATCGATCCAGAGGTACCCAATACCGAGGTTTCGTGTGACGTTGATAGCATCTTGGAATGTTTGGGGAGCTCCGTCAACTTAATCCCCTCTTTGAAGCTTTCAAGATTCTCTTTCAAGGTGCAAAATTTCCTGTGTTGGTCCGGAGACCCCCATGGATGCGATAGGGCAAGATATTTTCCTGATCTCGTTTGCCCACGGTCTGCGCAAAGCAAGCGGCAATGTTCGGCTCCCTTGGATCCGACGTCAATGACTCTGGTTGGAAGGAAGGTGGTGTCGGATACTGGGATACAGTCATGCGTACCGTCGCAGACCCTTATCCACGTCGATAATGCTGCGATATGTGCTTGACTACCGGCAGCCGGAAGCACTGGCATCCCCATCTGTGCACCAAAAAAGGGTTTTCCTTACATACAGAGTCAGCACGAGATAAATGGATGGAACTAATGTCGTTCTTACCTGGCAAGCTGTACAAGACTGCAACTGGCCGTCCAGGCTTCACACTTGATGTCAAATAGCTGCTGAACTTTTCAAACCGAATCTCCCCATAGCTCTTGGATATCATGGATTCAAGTGAAAAGAACTGGAGACGACAGAGGTCACAGACTTCCAAATTGTTTGCCAGTGCTCCGAGGTTATCAGAAAAAGAGAATCTTTGTGACCAGAGCCGCTGTTGGAGGTCTTTACATCGAGGACAAAGGGTGCTAGTTATATTTCTTAGTGGAAGCTGACGAGAAATTTCGATCTCCTTCGACAGCGCTTGTGCTGTGTTGACATCTGGGCTACACTCCCACTCATCATCAAGCTAAGAAACCATTACTGGTCAAGATTTGTAGCTCTTCTCGAAATAGCAAGAAGCTTACCGGCTAGACAGAGTTGCATTGTCAGGACATAAAAGCCAGGCCGCCAGACATCAGATTTGTAGGTAAATCTTTCAACCTTGAGGGTCAAGACATATCGTCTGCTCATCAGTGACTATTAGTGAAGGTCACATCTTGGTGGTGGCTGAAAACGTACCAACTAGATGAGATGTTAGCTCTCCACATCGATATTTGAAGGTTATTAGAGCATAACCAATACCATCTATGCCGTGTAAGGAAGTGGTTAGCCAAGATCACGCAGACTTATACCACTCGAGGCAGACGTACGTACTGTCGATATCAGTGTCCAATATTGCATAAGGTGGGATGCGGGACTTTTACATCGTCAGGATGGCCCAGGCCACTATCATCTGCACCCGCCAAGCCATCATCAATGGCTACCAAGGAACTGTTTATTAGAGGAGAACGAGATCCTAGGGAATTTACTCTTCACCTCATGCATTAACGCCGCGTCGACCCCTTATACCTAATTGAGGAATATTCAAGGTACCTCCGCGTTGCCCCAGTCCTCCTGGAGAGCTCGCTTGCCAATTCATCCAAGCAATTCTGGGCGGTTTCCCTGAAGCATCTTTCACGATGCCAGCCAGTGTTTCGTACATTTCAATAGAAGTCGCTCGATAACGAAGGTCGTCGGCGGTATCGCCTTGTAAGCTGCTGTTGGCGTCCGATCGAACAATGCTCGGGGTATCTGGGCCATCTGTCGCATGTAGAGTGGCGCTGCCTTGGGCACTGTCGCTTCCAGACGACTCTTTCCTCATCAGCTTGCTTACCTCTATGACTAGCAATCGTGTGCAAATGAGATCCAGCAACTTTCGAATTGCAGTGTTCGGCGGGCATCTTGGGTCCCTTCTGATCCAATCCATCCACTTCTGAACACCAGGTTTAATGCTAGCCGCTCCGGTCACACCAGATCCATGTACATCGAAGAATTGCCGTGTTCTGTTCACGGGATGCGTTATGTCATCCCCAAATCGAAGCAGTTCGGCTTTTCCATAAAGAAGCCAAATCAGGAACTCGAAGTAGATACAGCCGATGGACCAGACGTCATAACGTCGCGACCGTGGTAGTTTCTTAGTTAGCAGCAGTACGGCTTCAGGTGGCTCGTACATAACCGTTCCATTCATCGTGCGTGTAGCTTCGTTACGCATCTCCGTCGCTAAGATGTGAACTTTAGCCAGACCAACATCCGCAATGACGAGAAACGGCTGAGAAAACGGGTCGGAGCTCCTGGTGTTCTCAAAGCAAAGAATATTCTCTGGCTTCAGGTCCCCATGTCGACACGCGGAGTCCTTTGTCGAATGAAGCTTGTTAATCGCACTAGCCAGGCCACAGAGTTGATCAAGAGCCCAGCCAACAAAATCTGCATCTAGCTTACGAGGAGGTTCTCTTCCCCAGTAGTCTCGGAGGTTACCACCTCCGGCCCACGGGAAAATAATAAAGTACCGATCACCCCTTTTGTAGTAAGCGATTGCCTTGATGAGGTGCGGATGCTTCATTTCACGGATCATTTCTAGAACTCCTGCCTCAGCCTCGGCTGCGGCATGGTACTCTGCATCATTCATGCTGACATTTCTCAGCTCTTTCACTGCTACAATGGGATGTCCATTTGTGTCGACTGACAGGCGCTGTATCATGTAAGTGTCGCATCCATGAAGCCCTGGGCAATGCGTTGGTCGTGGGTTTGTGTGCGCTTACAAGTTTTGAGCTCTTCTCGAAATGAGACTGGTGAATAGACCACTTTCCCACCGTGCTGAAGTGACTTTCTCTGTGTCCACCAGGTTGCTCTAAGAACGGCATTCGGTGTTCCTTTCGGAAGGAGTATCTGAATTGATGTTCGTTGAAGACCGGTGCAAGAAATTGCCATTGGTTGTCACAAAAGAGATACGGCGAAATAACGAATGCCCAAAACTTGTCGGCAAAAACCCTCTTGGTGATCTCAGAATGGCCAGGTTCAGCGGATCGGGTTTTCACTTGCCTGCCTTTATCGATGAAGAGAGGTAGAATAGAGTCGACAAAATTGTGCTCGTAGAACAAGTCAATCCGTTCCGGGCGACTAAGGCAGGCAAGAACCGCGAAAACTCTCCTGGCCCCGGGCTTTCCACAAACGAAGGAGGCGATCTTTGATATCGTCTCTGGAGATTTGTTCGTTTGATCTGTTAGGGTGTCTTTGACCAACTGCGTAGTTACCTTCTCTTCCAAGAAGGAGTACGGAAGAAAGGTGTTGCCTCCGCATGTTCCTGCAGGAAGCTGTCTCGAGACTAATTGGCCCTGAAAGTTAGCTCCGTCGGGAATTCTGGAATCATGAAGGTGGCTCGAGCCTATGTCAGGCTCAGCGCTGGACGGTGTCATTTCTAGCACGGGTTCCGGATCCCAAGGAACTGCCCAACGTCATCAGCAGAAGGTACTATCGAAAATGTCTAGGCAGGAGGTTGTGGAAAGCTTACCTTCCGGGTTTTGGTCCTGAAAAACCAAGTCTGGCATTCCTTCAGCATCAATTCTACTGTCTTCTGAGCCAGGGGAATCCCCCCACTGATTGCTACTTTCCGCTTTCGAGCTCACGGCGAAGTAATCAGCGGCAAGGTGCTCCGATTGAATGCCAAGATATTCACGCTCTTTGCTCGCCATGTCTGGCCACGGCACTGAATACAAAGCAAATGAGTGAATATGTTCTGCAACATGACTTAACATAGCTTCAGGGTCGACTTCAGGATCGCCTGCTGAGCTTTCGGGACATAAGGGACACTAAGGGCGTTAAAACTTTTATTTCACTAGAACGAGAGGCCCATGTTTGCTTACTTGTTCAAGATGTAGCGGCGCGTTAGATGCTGACATTGAAACAACTGCCTCGATCTGGTCTGCGGAGATGTCATTGGCGTGCTCTCTCAGAAGATGTTCAACGTAAAGTTGCTCAACGTCGAATCTCTTGGGCTCAAGACACGCCGAGCATAGCCAATATTGCCACTGATTGTGTTCTTCTGACATGTGCTTCAGCCACTCTTTTCGTGTGTCGTAGAGCTTCTCAGGACGTTCACAAGAACTCAAAACGCAGGTGTAAGGCATTATATCCTGCGTCAAATGCTTCCTGGATGTCAGTCAGTCAAGTGAGTCCCATGAATATGCCAATGCGAGTAACGACTTACTTCCAACGTAGGCCCATTCCTGTAGCAAGCGGCAAAGTCTGGAGACAGCATGGACAACGAAATATTTCTTGGCCTTCTTTGACTTTAGGTGGCTTGGGATAAACAACCTTTGAACTGATAGAGGAAGGCGCAGTCATTGAAGCTTGGCTTGTCAAGGCGAGATTGATGGGATTCTGAATCGCAGTAGGCACAGAACTTGCAGCAATTGTAGCAGCAGCAAAATGAGAAAGTATGTGCGGTGACTGTGCCGCGCCTTCGGTCGTCGGTAAGTTGACGGCGTTGCCTACTTCCTGGCAGGTGCTGGGCTGACGTATTTGCAAACCCCTTACTTGTCTTTCATCGGTCGTGAAGTCATCACGCTCTTTCCCACGCTTTACACCTCGTCTCCTCGCGAAAAGGAAGCGATGACGCCTTCTTGTGTTAGACTCTATCAGCCTTTTTTGGACCTCGTTAAGTCGGTATGATGCATATTCGGGGTATCTTGTTGAGCCATTTTCTCGCTCTGACTTCGTAGCCCAGACGCTAATTAGGAAGCCGAGATGATCCCTCAGTTCATCATAGATATCTGATACATAAGAGCCGTCTGCTCTATCACGGTGAGCCTGAGCGCCGGAACGTCGGATCGCGATCGAAATTCGAACAAGCTTTGTAATGATTGCTTCGGTGTCGGCGAATATTTCGGTCAAGGCCGGCTCTTTCTCGTCACTGGAGCTATCGGCATATTTATCGTCCACATAATCACTGTGACCAACTACTCAGAAGTTAGCAAGTGGAATAGAAAACCAGTGGAGATTGTTCAGGCTCAGGCATAGCCGTAGGTACCTGTCTGTAGACACCGGCGTGTCAATGCCTCAAGAAGCCCCAAAAGATCTATTAGAACACTCCGAACAGTTTCCTTCTCGGAGAGTTGTTCGTCAAGTGAAGCATGTGCTCTGGCGAGTGCGCCTGAGCCAGCTGCCCAAAGGTTGAAATCAGCTAGTCGTTTCCTTGCCCACTCATCCGTCATTAGCGCTGGCTGAGCAACACACTCTTGCAATCGCTCGCGACAACTCAGACTAGCCTCATAGATGGAGCTATATGCTAAGGCCATTGCTTCAGCTCATATTCTAGCCACAGCGCGCGACCATATGCACTGATGCGAATGAGGTTTGGTGTATCGACGAGAGTTGAATGTCGCCTTGTTGGTTTTGTCAGCTGACATGGGACAGAAAGAACCCCTCCCCCTCCCCCTCTTCTGACTGCAAGATGTTGCAATTGGCTCTCTCAACACGGCGTCTCGTTCTCCCGGGACAGCATTCAATCAATCTGTAGGCAACCTAACCAGACTGACCTATCAACATCATCTTTCGCCGCAAGAATCATCTTAGTCAGATTCATCACTAGGTCCTGCCCGCCAATACCCACACCAGCAATTTTCCCGAATTGCATCTGATCAGGCTGGCTCGGTTTGGACCCCTCAACCGTCCAGTGCGCACTTTCATCGATCGGAAGCGATTATCGCTGCCACAGCTGGCTTGCTTTTTGACCAGCTACCTCAGATGTCGACTATTCCAGAGTACCCAGGGGTTCAGCTCGTTCAGCAGTCGTTCCCAAGGGTCTCGGCTCTATTGGTGAAGTATGCCAGTCGGAAGATCAACACTAAGCTGGCAGCGCTGGGGGCTCATCTATGCGCCTTCGCGGAGGAGACGTCTTCCTTTTCTGACGGCATCAAGAGAGCCCTGGAGAGAGATCGGAGAATCGACAGGCTCTTGTCTCAAGTCGAGCAAGTTATCTGTGTAAGTTCATCTCATCATTCTTCACGCGTTCCGCATTAAACCTACCTTTGATGAGCTCTCCGAACATTTGATCTAAATTCTCAGACTGACACGATGATAGTTCCAAGACACATCTGTACAAACGATCGCCAAGTATCCTACGCTTCGAAAGGTTGCTGCTGCGCAGTCTTTCGTAGAAGACACAGAAGCTGGCGGTGTATCCGGCCTTTTTGGCCTTGATACCTTCTTCTGGGGAGACAATAGCCAGGCAAGTTCATCGCTCGCGACAAACATCAAGAAAGCAGTCTCAAAGCGAAGGATTGATTACGACTCACTTTTCGAAATTTTGGACCTGTGTTCCGAGATAACAGCAAAAGATGACCTGGTTGAATCGACTGATCTTGACGCAAATTCGAGATATGAGGATGTATCAGATTATACCAAACGTGCAAAAGAAGTTCGAAAGATTCTCGCCAACCACGCACTATGCAGTTGCACAGATGCAGAAAACCCAGCAAACACCAGACACCGGGCACGGCTGAGACTGAAGCCCGTTTACTCGGCAGATGATCACCATCAGCTGCGGTTCGATATGCTATTTTCTGCCACCCTAAACCCTCTCCAAGGAGGGACATTGAATTGGCAGGAGGTTCAAATTCTATTGTCTACCAGGAAAGCTAGCAAGGGCAAGACAATACATTTCGCAGGAGACCCCGTACCTCAGAGACAGGGAGCTGAAGAACACCATGGCCAAATGAGCATACAAGACTCTAAGATCGTTGACAGCCTCTGTGAGCTCATTATCGGCGACTATGGGTCTGTGTTGTATTTCAAGGTAATTCAAGAGCGGCTAACGGTCTTACTGGATCCACCAGGGCCGAGCCATCTGGGGAACTCATTTGCAGCACAAGTCGGACTGCGTCTTGGAGATATCCTGGAAAGGTTCGACATGAGGTACGGAATGAGGCCAGTACTTGCGTACACGATAGCCAAGGCAGTATGGCTCCACTATGATTCGGACTGGATGAGCGTAGCGACAAGCAGTGACGACATTTTCTTCATGGGGGAGGAAGACGACGGAGACACCAACTACTTCTGCAAGCCTTATCTCTCGACGGATATTCATACAGAATTTCAGCAGCGAGAGCCGGAATGTCGACAGGTCATCGGCATGATGCACCGTTATCCTCGCGTTCTGGCTCTCGGAATAGTCCTTGTTGAGATCGCAACAAGGCAGCATATCTATTTCGAGAGCCATCCGAGTACTTGGACGCCCAAATACGCGAACGAAGTACTCACAACATTGCGAAAGTCATTACAGAACGAGAGTTTTCAAGAAGATTGCCATTTCCCTCGTTACAAGCTAGCTGCTGCGAAGTGTCTGGACCCGATATTGTTCAAGAACGCGCCCTTCAATCCAGGGAGACCCGAAGAGAATCTTGAAGCGAGGCGCACAATACTACACGATGAAATTGTGGAGCCTTTGAGGAAGTTGATTGAGGGAACAGGCTGGGATGCCGAGTTTGACGAAATGGAACGAACGGCAATGGTTCCGAGGCACCGTGAACGTGAGCCATTGAAACATCTACCCGCAAATAGAGTCCCGAAAGCAGGCAGCGAAATGAACCCGCTGTCTTCCTTGGAAAGGTCAGTATATACTTCCTGTAGGACACAGTTGAGACCTCGTGACCGCCTTCAGATGCTGACGGACGCCTAAAGCTACAAGAAAAGCCGTTGGATTGAACAGGTATCTCAGCTTAACCACATGGTAAGAAAAGACAAAAAGCAAGGCACGAAGAGCAGCCGCATCAAGCTTGCCATTCTGGACACTGGATATGACACCAACGCGCCGACCTTTGACATTCCGAGCAGGTCAAAGAACATTACGTGGCACGACTTCGTATCAAATTCGATCCATCCTGTAGACACTGACGGCCACGGAACGCACCTTCTGACACTACTTTTAAAGCTGGAGGTCCAGGCTGACATCTTTGTTGCTCGCATCACTGAGAACAGCCAGTCTCTCAAAACGGCCGAAATAAACGTCGCCCAAGCAATCCACAAAGCGGCCCATGAATGGGACGTTGACTTCATTTCACTGTCATTTGGCTTTCCGCACCACGTTAAGGGTATACGAGACGCCATAAATGACGCAGTTCATCACAAAGACGGAGCGATCACAATTCTAGCGGCTGCCAACAACGACGGCTTTAACAGCTGGGAGATGTTCCCAGCAAACCTTGGTGACAAAGTCATATCGATTCGTGGCACAAACGAGGATGGGGCCTTCGACCCTAGATTTAACCCTCCAATGAGCTCGAGCGAGTCTGTATTCGGGACCCTTGGTGTCGACGTGCATTCAGATTGGATTGGTCATGAGCTAAGCCGTTCAATGTCCGGCTGCTCCGTCGCAACTCCAATTGCATTGTCAATTGCAGTGATGGTTCTTAAGTACGCATCAAACCGGACAGATCATTTCAGCCCGCAGGACTTGAGGTTACTTAAAACTCGAAGAGGCATCTTTGAGTTGTTCAAGGGTATCTCCATGACCCCTATGATCCAGTCACTAAGTCATGGTCTAACGTCTTACCAGAGATTAGCATTCCAGCTGGAAATGAGCGACATTACCTGTCTCCCTTCGAGCTTTTTAAGCTGCGTGAGGACGTTCGCCTAGCACGGTTGAAATCGGCTCTGGGTAGACATCCAGAAAGATTGGGAGCTTAGTTTGTCACATTATGCTGTTGACACCGTATTGAGCTGGTATCGGAGAAGACACAACACAGTTCTATGAATACAAAAAACTGTTTCGCAGTAATCAACATGTACCATTTCAGCGCGTTCGCTGAATCTTCTGGTCTCCAGCAACGGCATCTTCACATACACAGCCGATATTAACAGTGAACATAACAGTACCGATGAGATACAGTTCTTTCAGAAGGCTGCGATGGCCACGTTTCAGTCCTAAAACCGAAGTACATGTATCTCTTAGCGCCCAGGGATCCCTCAGTCACGCCTAGCAACGTATCAGAAGGCGTACACCTCGTACACAACAAGGGGCCTAATTCCTCGTCAGGTGCGCTACCTTATCTGAGGGTCTAAGATATCAGCGTTGCTTTCCTTCACACATTTCTCAAAGCCATCAATTCGCATACTCTACCTGCTGTACTGCGCATGGCAACTGATAATTGGGAGGTTTCGATCGTTGCACCACTTTGACCCGAAAGTGGGACTTCTGCTTTCTCGAGAGATGCTGTAGTAATTACTCAAGACGCATCCCGTTGGTTGTAATGGGACCGACCTCGAAAGTTTTGGAGCATTTGACTAGCTTGTCCCAATGCAGACAGGGCGTTTAGTCTGAACTCGGCCTCGGTGTGACCGCTGGTCTGGAGTTTAGGAAGCCTGAAATCAATCCCTGACTTATGTCCGATGTCCTCTTTTGCCCCAGTACAAAGATACATCCAGATATCGTTTCCATCGGAAAGGTTCAGCCAAAGAGTCGGCACATACTACCCAGAATCTGAATCAAATTAACGGCCCATTCAATTATCTTTAAAAATCCATGCGCCATGCTATCGCCGAGTAATTTCAGTTTAATGAGTACTGTTTGATGTCGTGAATACTGTGCTTCAACGCAGCTGATTGATGCCTAATGTGAAGACTGAAGCCATCTTCAAGAGGATCATCTCTCGAGGCAGAGAACGTGAGTGGGCGGCACAGCAAGTGCGGGGAACATGTTGCCAAAGGCCAATGGGACTGTCTATCTCACATCAAAACCAAAGCGCCTCGGATTTCGATTATGAGTCACGACTTGGCTCGAAACCGCCTTGACCAAAATATCGTCAGTTGCTCTTATCATCCAACCATCTTTCATCGTGGTTTGATTCTGAGAAGAATCCACAAAGTACAATGGCGGCAAAGACGTACTTCCTCGCTCCGAACTTTGATTTCCCTCCCGGCAGTTCCATCCTCCTAGGCAGCCTGATCTCAGATCCCCTGACCCCTCACCGTTCGCTGGCGCAGCTCGAGAAATGGCCTGATGTCACAACAATTGTCGACAAGGAGGCCGTCATCTCTCGAGGTAAAGGGAACGGGGCCAATGTCTCGCTAGGCGCCCAGATGCTTGGAGCTATAGGCGCCAAAATCGGCGGCGGTGTTGAGAAGAGCCGAGCGACGGAGTACAGAATGTCTGCGCTCAAGACAGAGTTCTTCACTCGCGACCCAGGGGAAGATGAGATCAAGAAGCTCATCGCTGAATGTCCCAGAGCGCGAAAGGTACTCATCGACGCGCCCATTTGGCGGCCTGGGAAGCTTTTTATCATCACCGGTTTGAAGATTGCTGAGGAGTTCTCAATGTCAAGCACTACGACTGGCCGACGTGAAGGTGACGTGGAGGGTACGGCGCCTGTTCTCGCTGCTGCAGGACTCAATGTTGAGGCGGGCATTGGAAGCTTTTTCGAGAGCAGTGAGGGCATGAGCCTCGAGGCGGTAGGCGATAGAATACTGGCATATCGCCTGGTAAAGATCAGTTTGAAAGGGCTGAAGAGAAAGGAACTCGAAATCGACGAATATCGATCCAATGACATTGGAAAGATGCTGGGTCACAGGGAAGATGAGATAGATGAGCAGTCTCTTACTAGCATCGAAGTTGCCGACGCCCTGGAAGATGATTTGGATAGTGATGACGATGATGAAATGGACGCTGTTGAGGTAATCACCGAAGTAGACTCTGATGAAGGTCATTTGCGTGTGGTTTCTGCCTAAATAATGACTTTGAAGGTAGATGTGGATCGTTCAATGCTGGAAGTCACATAATTTGTAATTCATAGAAGCTCCAAGATCCCGAACCTAGAGTTACCTCAGTGAGATGAAAATCAAACTAAACCTCGCAGCAGAAATGTGAGTTTGAATACCAAAGGAATAGTTGATAAGGCGGATCTGATGATGAATAGTGGAGTTAGAGCAGTTTCGGCGGGGACGGACGTCTTTTGGCATTGGGATTCGCCGCTCGGTTAATCAAAGTAGGGCGGAAACACAACTAGCAACCGTACTGTGTACGGGCTCGTCGCTTGCTTGATCGAGACTATGGCTTAATCTCTCTAATTAAGTTCATTTCTCGTTGAAACATTGCTGCAATACCTCACGCTTCTGCAGGTCTCTGTCTCGTCTGATTTTTCGAGATCAATGTTGCCAGGCTCGAGTTTCCCATTTTCAGTCCTGTGTAAAGATCAAAGTTGATGAATAATAAGACATCCGGACCACCGCTGAAAAGTAATCTCATCTGGATACAAAATAAACATCCCATCGCACCTAAGACTCTGGTTCGCAGCATATCGACGTAAAACCTCGTACCTTACTCGGAACAGTGATTGGAAAACTCTTTCCTGACAGCTCTGCTTCCGTGCAAGGGTTCCTCGACTTCACGCAATCTCTCCATAACTTTGGCCAACACCGATATTGCTAGGAAGTACCAGCGGAGAAAGTCAAAGTCTGGCACAGCACACTAGAATAAACCGCCTCCCTTGATACCTGATTTTGAGCATGCCTTCGCACATACTTGAATTGTGGCGTAGCTGTATGATACACGAGCGCCTTGTCTTGAAATGTAGTATCCTCATATCTTGATCAGGCGAAAAAAAAAATCCCCCCTTTTCCTCAGCTCCTTCAAGTGAAGGGAAAACTTCTTCATCATTTCGCTAGCATCACGATACAAAGTTTCCGTTGCTCACGTGTAGTGGAAACCCTTACCGGTCGGTCCAGGCACGTGGGGACCAGCTACATGACTCAGGCAACTGAGGTCCAAGTTCTTGTTCTTTGAAAGGGGTTGCCACTCATGACCTAAGCCTCCCGGCATTTCTAGAGTCTAGACCGCGCTCCCAGCGGACCGCGCAAACCAAACATAGCGCCGAAATCGAACATGTGGTTCTCGATGAGGCGGTAGAACTGGGCATGGAGTGATGGGAAGACCCTTGGTTTAAGCCCCTGACGGAACAGATATTTACGGCTGCAGAGACACAAACAAGATCTCTGGTTGGCCGAGCTCGGATGACAGCAAGCTTCAGCGAATCGGGTGCTTCCGAGTGGGAACCACACCATCGAGGGGAACTCTCGAGTCTTATGCAGGATCTTCGGGTTGGCCCTAAGGCCATCCTACGGCACTAGTTTTCTTGCAACCTCATAGACAGCTCCGTGATATTGTGTCATCTCGACCGATATGGCGGTTTATCACCATTTCCGAAGGTCAGCACATCATCCGAAAGACGCGTCAAAGAGAAAAGGGAAACCCCATGACGACATGTGCATAGTTCCACATTGCATACCATCCGCAAGCCAAGGCCGCGCAGGGACTCACAGGGAGTCCCCTGGCGAATGACGGCAAGCATCCCGATTTTCTTAGGTAATAGGAAGTCGGGCCCTAACGAACTTGCGCCAAAACATGGTGTGCTAGCACGTTCATGGAAATTCGACCTGCTGCTTCTCGTGGAGCGGTTTCGGCCCAAGTGGAGTTTAATGGATACGAAAAAGTATTTCCGGTATGAGAACCTTTCTAGGCACGCCAGGTTACCGGAGGGTCCGGGTGACAAGTTGCCGACTTCGTGAACCGCCGGTCCGGTTCTACTTATAAGAAAGGGGTCTTCCCCCATACTTTTCCCCACGATCCACTTGTGCCTCCCACAAGGTCAGAATTTTTCTTTGGTAATTTATTGTGCTTTTGTATCTTGCTTTTCTGCTTCTTCTCTCGGCTCCATTCTGCTCCGCTGCCAAGTTGGAAGATACTCGCTCGCTTTCTGACCGTCGATGCAATGGCGGGAATCTCACAGTCCTCTCCAGATGATGACCCTGGTCCCGAGCCCGGCGGCATCGGCTCGGCCTCTACGGCGGCACTTGAGCCGGTGGAATCCGCTTCCGAGCCAACATCTGGCTCCGACACGGCCGGGACAAGCATGCCTTCCGAGGCCGCAGCTGCAGCCGCCCTAAGGAAAGAGAAAGGCCGCGTCCGATTTAACAGCAATGCGGCCGCGACCAAGCCTCCTACATCACCACCAGCAGTTCCAACTACACCCAAGCTTGCTCCGGCACAGCCTACCAGACCATCTATCCTACGAGGTGGTTCCGGCAGTTCCATTCCTACCGTGGCTACTTTCGCCAAAGAGGAACCCCATCCGCCGGATGAGAATGAACGCCAAGAGGCCAAGTCTGCCGCGGCAGCTGCTCAAGAGCGAGCCCGGCAGATGGCTGAAAATGTTCACTTCGGCTCGCCGACGCGCGAAAACCGAGACTCACTCGAGTCCGCTACTACCACCACCGCAAGCGAGTATGACCTCGGAGGAGGAGAGGGAGCCGGAGGATACATTGCTCTCCAAGATCTCCATTCCCGCCAGCCACTCAATGGCGATTCAGCCGAGGCTGAGAAGAAAGCTCACGAGCACCATGCCGCCCTGAACGACGAGGCTTACAAAATTGTAAGAGCTCACACCTGGCGCCTCGCCGAGAAACCCGAGAGCGTCGCCGGTCCATCCAACGCCCAGGAAGCAGACATCCACAAGGTCACCGAGCATCTCCTACAAGAGATCAACGATGGTCAATACGATGGTGTTTACTCTGTCCCTGCTCCCACGGAGTACCGCGGTAGCGTTCTTTCGCAGCTTCTAAAGCTGTACAAGCCTGCGGAATCAGGCAATCAGTACCAGTCGTCCGGGCAGACCAATCGCAGCTCCGTCACCTCT